AGGGACATGCAACAGGGTGGCAGAGGCTCAGGGTATGTGGGCCTGGGTGCGTGCATGCCTGTCGTCCCTCTGAGTACCCGGGGGACACGTATGTGATCAGGTGCATGAATATCACATACATGAAGCTCGCCTTACACGTCAACACAATGAACACAGTAAACTTGATTTTGCAGCCTGTAGCTGACTTCCCAAACATGCACATGCTTTTTTTTTTTTTTGTGCACACGGACAAGCGGACATGTGTGTTCCGACTGTCACATGAAGCTATCCATTGTGCCAGCACAGACAGGAGCTGATGAAGGTCACATATGTGTGCATGGGTGTGGCCTGAGTGGGGAAAAAATTCACTCACTGCGGAGGACCAGTGACACAGGTGCACACGGGCAGGAGGACGTTTATGGGCACGGTGAACACCTCGGAGGCAGACGCGGACGCACACAGGAATGCTCGCTTCCATTGCATGCACAACATGCTGGCCTGTGGTTACATTTGCAGACCTACAGGATCTTCTCCGTGTGCTCAGCGGTGCACACGCATGTCAGCACTGTGTTGGACGCAGACAGGAACATGTCTCGGGGTGCACTGCGTGAGCACATCCTGTGCCGGCAAAGCTCCTGCAGCCACTGGAGCGTCGACTCCTGCTTCAACCCGGGGCTGACAGGGCCACATTTGCAAAATGCTCAGTGGCCAGGGACAGAGCCGGCTGGAGCACGCTGGCTGGCAGGAGGTAAGTAGAGCTGTGGATTCGTGACCCAGGGGTGGGTGGTGATGACGGCTGGCTGACGGATGCGGGTGCTAAGCCGCCCCCCTGTGACAGCAGCCGGCTCTTTGAGTTGCCTGAGTCAGGAGGCGGGCATTGGATCTTGACCTGTGGTGTTCAGGCTGCCTTCCTCTCTCTCTCTCTCTCTCTGCTTTGTGTCCACAGCCACAGGAGGACGCATCGGTATACAGCAGAGATTCAGAGCAGTGTAGGGTGATGGTGGACCCGCCTCTTCCACCTCTGCCTTGCTCCCAGCCCCCTTTCTGGGGTGTCACCTCCTCTCCTCAGCTTCTTCTCTGTCTCTGTCTCATGTGTTCCTGTGCAGGGATAGGGGGCATTGGTGTTTGTAACAGTCTCAGGCCCACACTGTCTCTGTGCTTTCCCTCCCTCCCTCCCTTCCTTCCTTCCTCTCTCTCTCATTCTCTCTCTCTCTCTCTTTCATTCTTCTGTTCTTTTGAGACAGGCTCCCATGTAGGCCAGTCTGGCCCCTAACTTGCTGTGTAGCCAAGGGTGACCTTGAACTCCTGACCCCCGGCCTCTACCTCTCGAGTGCTGGGTTGACAGGCCTGTGCCACCACGTGCTACAGAAAAAACTTAGAACATCTGCATGCCAGGTGCACAGCCCGCACTGACCAAACTGCACGGCTTCCCGGGCTTGGTGCACTTGGGCAAAGCCCTCCGCATCTGTGAGTTTACATCGGCTTTGTAGAAACAGGGCTCAAAAGAATCACACCTTTAAATGAAACAGGCCACGTTGTGTAAAGAGCTAGACACAGAACAGAACTCGAGAACCTCGTGTGGCTTCATATTCACCCAGTGACGCTGCTTCATTAGTGCAGGGTCAGGCGTGCAGCAAGTACCACACCAGCACGAGTCATCACCATGGCCAGCGCCATCGCTGCCACTCAGCCAGATGCTGGAATTCTCCATCCATCACATTAATACATCCATTTTCCATTCGAGACCTCCTTGGTCTACTCTCAGGATGACGCTGGAGACTTCGAAAGGGGAGTTTGTCTGCCTTTCGTTTGCCTAGCAGCCCCGTGCAGAGGGCAGACGCTGCGAGCGGAGGGCATCACCTCTGAGCTCCCGGGCAGAGCTGGCTGTGCCGCTCTGGTGCCCGGTGCTCACGTGCTGGCACGCTTTTCTCTCAGACAGGCAGACGGTCTGGGACTCCTGGAGGCTTGTGGGGGCCAGCGAGGCCAACTGTCGAAGGCTGTGCACCCCGTGAGATCACCCCATGCAGTCACCCCGGACCATTGGAGAAGCACACAGGTGCTTGGTTGGGGAGGGCGCGCTGAAGGACCTGGGAAGGGGCGGAACACGTGGGATGCCTCAGCGTCTTGTGGAAGGGAGCACCAGGTGGCAGCTGGGATACAGGGGACCAGGGGCTCCCTTTCCTTGTGACCCTTACCTCAAAGCCAGCAGAAGTTCCCGGAGGACCACAGACTGGGCGGGACGGCAGTGCTGTGTGGATGGTGATGTTCAGTTAGGTTAGAGCATGCCGAGGGCTGACTGTGAGCCTGGCCTCAGGGCTCTGGCCGGACGGCACCACATCAGAGCGCCCATCTGCAAACCCGAACGTCTCCACTTATTCTAACCTGTGGGACTTGGACCAAGTCATCTTAAGCCGAGGTTACCCCATTGGACATGAGCTAATTTGGGGAGTATTATTGGATATTGCTGGATATGAAGGTTGCATTTTGACCTCACCACCACCCCGTGGAGTTGCTGTTTGAACAGCCTGTGCACTCTAATGGGTAAAGAGAACAGAGAGTGTGGGCAAGTTGTTCAAAGCCACACAGCGGGCAGACAGAAGAGTGGGGTGCTCAGAGTCGGTGAAGTGGGATCAGTGAAATTCCTCATTCCTGTCCAGTCCTTTCCCTCTGAGAGCTTGCCAGGTCACACGTGGAGTTTAGAACGGTGACACTGCGTCCCTCTGAGCAGGTCATCTCCCTGCGTGGCAGGATCAGAATTAATCAAGCCAACCAGTGTGCGTGGACGGAACAGGTTTGAGGTGCTGGAACTTGCCTTGTCCCAGCTGTTAACATCTGGTGACCTTGAGCAAGTCACCTTGCTCCCCCCTGGTCTTAGTTCCTGTCTTGGCAAGGAACATGGCAGCGAGCAGCCTCAGTTGTCTCTGGGCTCTGTGAGGGCATGCAGGGTGAGACACACTGCCTCCTGGGCCCCCAAATGTTCATTAGCTACAGGAGTCGGGGGCTGAGGGTGCCCTGTAGGAAGAATGTGAGTCCCGCGTCCCCTACCTCACTCACCACCGCAGTGGTCCTCAGCAGATGGACTAAATATCTACAGAGCGAAGACTGTAAGACAACGGTGGCTTCCAGAGCACCCTCCCAGTCCCCAAGGTGACTCGATGGTTGCACATGGTCCTGGTGCAGATTCCAATTCCCCCTGGCTCCTCCACCAAGGCTCAAGGTGAGCAAAGCTGAGGGCTCCTTCGTCCAGCCCTCGAGGTCTTTCCACAGCCTTCCGTGCCTTAGCCGCCTCCTCCTCCTCCTCCTCCTCCTCCTCCTCTTCCTCCTCCTCCTCCTTCTGGCGAGCCAGCTCAGGGGATAACCCACCTTGCTGGAAGCGGCCTCATGCTGCAGCCTTCAAAACTTGGCCCTTGCAGACGCTAGTGTAGTCCCTCGGGATGCCTCCAATTGTCCAGCCATTATCCATCTCATGCTTCAAGACGCAGTGAGCCCCAGGAATTACTGCCCACACTACCTCCTGTGCTCCCAGGGCCACCTTCTGCTCAGCCTGCTTCATCAAAGGCGCCTTTACTAGTGGTCTCTGTCTTTGCCTCCTGGGTCTTGAGCTATGGGAAGACAGGAACTACTCCCTGGGGCCAGCGAAATGGCTCACTGGGTAAAAGTGCTTGGCTATCTGAGCTGGGTCCTGGAATCCACCGTGGAAGGAGGGAACCCCCAAATTTGTCCTCTTTCCATATGGGATGTGGTGTGCACACACACACACACACAAACACAAATGTACACACACTACAAATAACTTCTTATCTGTGTAACTCTGGTCATGTTGTTGCTGTGAGCCTGTTTCTGGCTTCTGAACTATGGGCATGGTGGCATTCAGCTGCCTCTAGGCCACCTCTGTGGACCTTTGAGGCATGGAGCGGAGTGGGAGTTCCTTGGGAGGATGACAAGGTAAGGCCAAGGAAGATTTCCTGAACACTTCCTACACGTCAGGGAGGCACTGGCATTGGAGCTCAGCTCCCACTACCCCCACTTTACAGCTAAGCAAACTGAGGCATCAGCAGAAGAGGGCCTGGATGAGGGGTGGCCAGCTATCTGAAGCTGGAATGCATACCAGCCCCATGTGGAATCACTGAATAGTCCCAGAAGGTCTGGGAGAGAAGACAGAAGACAGCCATTACCCTATCAACCGGGTCTCATGTAGCCCAGGCTACCATCAAACTCATAAAGTAGCTGAAGGGGTCTTTGAACTTCTGATCCTCTTGTCTCTCCCTCCCAAGTGCTGTGGTTGCAGGAGTCCCTCACCATGGCCTGTTTGCACAGCACTGGTATGGAACCCAGGGCTCTGTGCATGCTGGGCAAGCCCTCCACCAGCTGGCTACATCCCCGCCCTTGCTGTTTTCATTTGTTTGTTTGCAACATTGTTTTCCATGTAGTTCTGACTTCCCTGGAACTCACTATGTAACCCAAGCAGACATCCAACTCATGGCAGTCCTCCTGCCTCAGTCTCCCGAGTGCTGAGATCACAGGTCTGTGCCACTATCTATACCCAGTCCGGGAGAGCCTTAAGTCGGAGTCTACAGAGCAGCAGTTTTTAACCTGTGAGTCACGACCCCCAGAGGGATCACAAATCACGCCTCTCAGCTGTTTACATTATGATTCATCACAGTAGCAGAATCACAGCCATGAAGTAGCAACGGGAATAGTTTTATGGTTGGGGGTCACCAAGGCAGGGGGGCAGTGTTCAGAAGGTTGAGAACCCCTGCTCTGGAGGGAAAGAAAGGCTCCAGCTCCGACGGCAGGGGTGATGTCACCACTGTGTCCAGCCCCCTAGCCGTCCCCCCCCAGCTTATCTTGCTTTAGCATCTTGCCAGGAATCTTACTCTGATGCAGCCCAAGGCACAGGAAGGTTCTGCAGTTGCTGGGCACATCTGTTTCCCCCTCAGAGGAGGACCAGGGCCTGACGGCTGGGATCCATTCCTCTTTCCTTGGAAAGGCTGGGAGGCAGGATGGTGCCGGGGTGAGGGAGTGAGCTCAGACACGCTCCGTGTAGTAACGTAACGGCAAGGATAAGGATAGTAACAAAGGCGAGCATTTATTGAACACCTACTCTGTGCCAGGCACTGCCCAACAACTTGACGCACGAACCCTTCTCGTCCTCTCAAATCTTCGAGGTAGGTGCTGTTATTAACCTCATTTGACAGATGAGGAAACTGAGGCCCAGAGAGGTGAGGTGACTTGTCCAAGGCCAGGCAGCCAGTCAGGGCCAGAGGCTCCACCACTTGCTGTCTGGGTGTCCCTGGGCAAGTCACCAGCACTTCTCTGGGGGGCGGGGGGAGGGTCGTGTTTCCCATCTGGCACCTTTGGAACTCCACCTCACAGCTTCTACAATGCAGTCGGTCTCTGGGTAGCTCTCAGCACACAGTAGGTGCTTAGTAAATGAACAGCCCTTCCTTCATCTTTACTTGGATGCCAGAAAGCCTCGGGGGCGGGCACGGCAGCAGCGCCCTCCTCCGCTTTCTCCTCCCAGGTCATTTCCCAGCGCGGGGCACCCCCTCCGCGGTCCTGTGCAAGCCCAGATCCTCGCAGGCCGGGTTCCCCTCCCTTCTCCTGACGTTGGTCATCAGCGCGCACCCCTGGGTCCTCGCAAGCGGCACCCGCTGTGGGCGTGTCGCGGCGCGGCGTCGGGGTGGGGCCGCCAGGGTTGGAGCTAGGAGGCGGGGGCCTCGTCGTCCCCGCGGTGGCCCGCATAGAGGGCGGCCAGCGGTCGGAAGCGCGGGCCCCAGGCGCGGAGGAAGGCGAAGTCCTGCTCGGAGCCGGTGGAGCCGCTGTGCAGCGAGCTGAGCGAGGCTGCGGGCGAGCCCGCGCCCTCGAACGCGTAGGTCTGGAAGGCGTCGTAGGGCGGCACCGACAGGTCCGCGTCCGCCAGCGCCACCTTGCGGCTGATGAAGTCCCTGAACACCGAGAAGTCCGGCTCGGGGCTGGACGGTCCCCGAGGCAGCGAGTGGCGCTCGGAGGATGAAGCGGCCTGCGGGGGACTGGCTGCGCCCCCGCCCGCGTCGCCTCCCTTGAGCTCCCCGAAATCGTAGAGGCTCCGCAACGCTGACATGTCATAGGCCTCGGTGTCCTGCTCGCCGCCGCCTTCGTCGTTGTACTTGATCACATTGTCCCGCATGTCCTCGTCCACGTCCGAGCTCAGGTGGCTCTTGTGGTGCCGCCTGAGGGTGAGGATCAGTAGAGCCAGCACTGCGGGGAGTCGGGGTGGGGGACACAGGGAGACAGCGTGAGGTCTGAGCTCAGCACAGGGCCCTGCCTGGACCCCTTCTATCCCCCAACCTGACGGCTGAGCTCCATCACCCTCGAAGGGTCCCTAGGTTCCCCATTTCTTATGGTGAGGACTGAGCTGGCAGAACTGAGCTGAGGTGGCGAGCTATTCGTCTCAGGAGCTATGCAAACTACAGCTATTTGCATTACAGCTATTTGGCCGGCGGGGCCGGGGTTGCCACGCAGAGAGGCGCTAAGAATTTTCAGCAGAATTAACCTCTGAGTCTCCACCCTCGGTTCTAGGTGCTCTAAGGCTGAAGGCACCGGCTGTAAGGCTGATGAGACTCTTCTGTCCTTGCCTTTCTCCAACTGCCCTGAAAGTCTCTGGTTCAGTGTCTCCCGGTCAGGTCCCCCAGGGGTCTCCCCTGAGAGATCTAACCAGGTGACTCAACGCCAGGTCCCCGGGTCTCCGGCTCCTCCCTCTGTCTCATTGGTTCTCAGGGTAGCCTCTTCACCACCAGCAGCACCCGAATTCCTGACCATTTAGGGACTCGTCACAACCGTGGGTCCTCAGTGGGTCCTAGATCTGCTTCTGAGTTCTCCCTCTTTTTTTTTTTTTTTCCCATCTCAAATAGAGAGGTAGCACTTCCCCCAGGCCGGGTCCTGCCAAAAGATACCACCTGGGACCTCCTGGTGCCTGGCATGGAGCAAGCACTGGGTGTGTACTCGCCGAGTGAGTGAATGAGGAGTTGCTTGGAGACCTGACTGAGAAGGGGCGTGAATGAATGACTGTCTCTCTCTGCCTCCTGTCCTTCATCTGGCCTCCAAGGCTTCACGTTTCTCTCCTCTTCCTCCCTCCTCACTGACACCTTATTCTGCCTTCCGGGTGGGTTCTCCTTCCGGCGTCCCTAGCTCCCCAGCAGTCTCCCCAGGACCTGCTCCTTCCTAACACCCCTTGCTTGGCAGTCTCCTGCAGGCCCATGGCGTTAACCCTCCCCCCCAACAACCCTGCCCCAGCCTGGACCTCTCCTCTGAAATCCAGGCACATCTCATTCCCATCCTCTTGGCTGACGAAGAGAACCTTAAACTCCATAGGTTCAAAGTTGACATAATCTTTCTTTCCCTCCACCAAGGCTCAGGGAACGTGACGGAAAGAAAGAATGGAAGAGAAAGAGGGAGCAGAGCTGTTACATTCTCAGCAGCCCTGGTGACAAGCTCAAGGCCAAGCCGGTCAACATTTCAGCAAGGATAGGGGAGGGGCCAATGAGCACCCCCCCCAGCCCTAAAGCTCTTAACAGTTACTGAGAGCTGAGAGAGGAACAGTCTTCCCCCCACACTGGTAGGCTGACCATGTTCCCATAGAGCACCACACCCTCATGCACTCCCAGGCTGCACTAATGGACTCCGCAGCTATTAAAAAGACACAAGAGGACCTGAGCGTGGACAGGATACATGTAGGGGAAGTCTGGGGGCTTGTGGGTGGCCACAACCAAGACACATTGTATACGTGTATGAAATAAATGATAATTTAACATCCATTTTATTTTGTGTGTATGGCTGTTTTGCCTGCCTGTATGTCTGTGTACCACATGTGCACAGGGCCTGTGGAGGCCAGGAGATGAGCCAGATCCCTTGCAACTGGAGTTACAGGTGGTTATGAGCTGCCATGGGGGTGCTGGGAACGGAACCCAGGTCTAGTGGAAGAGCAGCCAATGGTCTTACCAGCTCCAAGAACGAATTAGAGAAAAAAAACATTATTTTTTTTTTCTCGTTCGGTGATATTGTGGAAACAGTCCAGCCCCTAAGAGGGAGTCCCTGGACGGATGGGAGGACAGATGGATGGACAGACACATGCCAAGCTCTGTGGCAGGGGTTAAGGCGCTTCCAGCTGCTCCAGACATATCCGAGCAGACCTGTGACCCGAGCCAGTTGTGAGGGTCACAGCAGGGTATGAGTCACCACCTAACATAAGAGCCTACAGCGGGGAAGGAAGTAGGGGATGGAGGGAGGGCTGGAGGGCAGGACGGCATCAAGAGAGAAGTAGAGAAGATGGATGGGCAGCGTTGGGAGCTGGAGACCCGGAGCTGTGGAGGGGATGCCCACGAGAGCAGATGGTGGGGATTGCGGGCGGCGGGCGGCAGATGTGCCAGGCCTGATCAGCGATTCCGCCCGTCACCTTTAGAGCACTGATGTGCACTTTCTTCGTTTGTGGGCAATTAGGCAGAAATTTGTTTGCACTGCCTCGGAAAATGAAACCGCTGTAAAGTGCACCCTCTGGAAAAAGGGTTTCTGAGCCGTGGGCTGCGGCGAGGAGGGAGGGGCTGTCCTCCTGGCTGGGCAGAGCCTGTCCAGAGCCTCTGAAGGGATGTGAAGCGGTGCAGCAGGTCACAGGAAAAATGGGCTGCATGAGGGGGGTGGGTGTCATCTTCGGGAGGCGCTGGGCAGGGCTGGCGAGCGTGGAACCCAGAGAACTCCTAGCTCTGGCTGCAGCTGCGACAGCAGACAGTCTGTTCACATCTCTTCTCTCTGGGGACACTGAGTCTCAAATGGCTTCCGGTACCAAGGTGGCTTCTTGGTCCCGGGTGCTCTAGGGTGTTGTCCCCAGTTTTACGTCACGACAGGTGCCAGAGTTAGAGGTAGAGACACAGACTAAGAAGACCTAATTTTAAGTCAGAAGACTACCCGTGTCACCTTAAGCCAGGCCGCTTAACCTCTGTGAGCCTCAGTTTCTGAGAATGAGGCTGATGCACCTGGCCACACAGCCACGCTTCTCTTCTTGGAGAGCAGAAGGGGGCAACAGACAAGAGAATTTTAAAAAAACATGCGTGGTGTGTTCCTCACCCCCATCCCGGGTCTTGAACTTCCTGTGTAGCCAAAGATGACCTTTAACTTCTGATACTCTTGTTTCTACTTCTGGGGTTGCTGGGATCACAGATCTGCGCCAGCACAACCGGTTTATGCAGGACTGGGGGTCGAACCCAGCGCCACTTCATGTATGCTGGGCAAGCTCTCTGCCGATTAGGTCACACCTCCAGCTCCCGGCTTCTTTTTATTGATAAGGGTGCCATTCTACAGCCCAAGTTAGTCTGGAATTTACTACCTAGCCCAGGCCAGCCTCTAACTTGCAGCAATCCTCCTGCCTCAGCTTTCCAGGTGCTGAGATTACAGAACCGAACCACCAGTTTGGGCTATCCATGTGTTTTTAAATGCTAGGAGGTGGGGGGCGGGGCACCGCATAAACTCTGTCCCCTTGGGCCACCATCGCACTCGATAGCCTTTTAACAGGAACCGCAGGTAGCGGTTGGAGGCGGATCTAGCCAGCCTGTCCCAGGCTCCTCCCCCAGGGCGTGGTCTGTCTGGGCAGGACATCCAGGTTTAGTAATGGTGGCTGCCTCTTGGACTCACCGACCAGGATGAGGACACAGACCAGGAGAGCGATGAGGGCACCGGGGCTGAGGGAGGCCGCCATGACAAAGGCGGTGGTGTTGCAGGACTGGATGGTGCCGGAGCTGTCACAGCCGCAGATGCGGATGGTAAGCGTGCCCGTGCTGCTCAGGGTGGGAGGCCCGCTGTCCACAACCAGGATGGGCAGGAGGAACACATCCTGCTCTTGCCGATTGAAGCCCACGTGCTGCGTGTGCACCGCAGCTGTGTTATCTGCCCGGGAGAAGAGGGCCGGTGTGACTCAGGGCTGGGGACAGATCCTGGCTCAGCCACATCCTGATCCCACCCCAAACTGCTGCCTCTCCAAGAATGCACACATCTGTTCCCCTCCTCTCCCCCACTTCTGCCCCAGCTGCTGACGATCCTGTTGCTCACGGAGTCCACGGGTGTCCTCAGCGGTCCCTGGAGTCTATTCCCAGCTGTCTTAAGTATATTTTCAGCGATTCTATGATTTTTGTTTCCAGCTGTGCAGAGGTATTGTCCCCAGCTAATCTGAGATTCCGTCCCCAGCTGGACCAAGGTCCTGGCCTTGGCTATGTCAGTCCTTCCCCCTCCCCACCCCAGCATTGATCTCAACAGCTTGCTTTATTCCGACTCTACTCCCATTTCCAATGCACCCTGCGTTTGGGAGTCCTGCGGTCCTTGGTTGTGGTTTGCTGGACCATGACAAATCCAAGGTCACCAGAGGTGGCTGGGAACACTGGGGCCTGCAGTTGAAGGGTCTTTCTGCCCTCCATGTTAGTCAGAGGTTCTAAAGCCTCTCTATGAAGAGGCTGAGCTTCCAGGGTGGGGACCCAGCCTTCATGGACAGATAAGGGGACCCACCTGAAGTTTTTCTTTCTACACAAGGCGGTCAGAAAGTGGGGAGAGCTACACCGTGGTGCCCGCCCCAGCCTGCTGCAGGCCAGGTAAACTCCGGAAAGGGCAGCACAGGCTGAGTGACAGGCGGCACTCGCTTCCTTTTCCTTTCCTGCTTCCTCCACATCTGTCAGGAAGCATTGGCCCTTGCTCTCCAGGGACGCCTCTCAGTCCTGCACAGGGTGGGGAATCTGAAGGGCTCAGAGCCCCGGGACTGACGCTCCATCTCTGTGGCTGACCCACCGCCTGCCTGCCAGACCCAGCTTTCCATACCCTGGCTCTCAGTGTGGGTTCTCACTTGAGACCCTGGGAGCCCAGAGGCCCCTCCTGGCTTTGTGGGTATGTCCCGGTAGCTGGCGGAAGCCTACAGCTGTGTGGACAGGCAACCTGAGATCTTCCTGGTGCTGGTTTAGAAGGAAATCCTGGCTTAGGAAGAAACTAGTCTCTCCTTTCTCAATAGTCCTTGCTTCCCAACAGTTTCCCAAGTCCAGCCTTCCTCACTGTGAACACAGTGATGGGGAAAGAACTGACTCATGCGTGACCTTGGACACACGTAGCAGAGGTCCAGATGTGACAAGATGGGCCCATGAGGTGATGGACAAACAAGGTTCGGGGTCTTATGCTATCCACTGCTTTGCACATTCGAACAGTTCTGTGCAAATGTTAATTGAGCACTGGCTTTCGTGGTCCTCAGTGTCCTCATCAGTAAACAGAACCTGGTCTCACCCAGCAGTGAGGATGGGATAGAATCATTCCCAGCACAACGCAATTCCTCATAAATGCTGGTTAATAGTTCTCCCACGTGCCGCACCCCACACCTTCTCACTGTCTGGATGTCTCTGCCTTGTTTTTGCAAGTCCCTGCTATCTGGGACACCGTCTCTGCCTTCTTGCCTGGGAAAATTCCTCATCCATCATGCTCCGGCTAGCTATCGCCTCCTCTCCATGGCTTCCTTTCTCTGCTTTGCTGGGTAGGAGGGATTTATGATCCCAGCACCCTGCTTGGATGCCTGGGGTCCATGCATGGCATGTTGGGCCACTTGTCACCTTGTATGAAGCAAGCGTGTCCGTCTCCCCACCACTGGCCAGCTGGAGCCTGCCTGGCCCTATGCCAGCCTCAAGGAACAAAGTTCGAAGGGACCACAGCTCTTGGGCTAAGTGGCATGGGTCAGCCATGGGTCAGTACTTCGGGTTAAAGGTTGAGGCAGCCCAGGCTAAGAAAACACTGCCTCCTGCCCTCCCGCTGGGGAAGAAAGGGGAATGAAGGAAAGAGGGGGCTGCATCAGTACCGAGTGGATACTTCTCATAGTCAGCCTGTGGGCCTCTGAAACAGATGACCACATTTAGTTCTCCTCACATGGCCGGGGAGGGCCTCCGTGTATGTGGAAACCAAGGCCCAGCAAGCAGTGACTTGTGTGTCTGGCGTGGCGGCTCAGCAGATAAAGGAGCTCACACTGAGCCTGACGACCTGAGCTCTACCCCGAGGACCCGAGTGGCGGAAGGAGAGAACCAATGCGTACACGTTATCCTGTGACCTCTAAATGCCGTGTGGTGTGCCCACTCTGACGCAAAATAAATAAATGTCATTTTTAAAACTTCTAAAGAAGAGGCCACGGCTCGGCCGTAAAGAGTGCCTATGATAAATACTCTTGTAGAGGACACATATTGGGTAGTTCACAACTGCCTGTAACTCCAGCTCCAGGGAGAGCTCATGCCTTTGGCCTTCACCAGCACTTTCCCACACACACACACATACACACACACACACACACACACACACACACACACACACACACTTTTTTAAAAAGTAGTGGCTTGCTTCTTCATCATCCATTCACCTATCTGCCCATGTGTCCACCCATCCATCCTTCATGTATTCATTCATCCACTCGTCCGTTCATCCATCACCCATCTATCGACCCATCCATCAATTCATCCACCTTCCACCATCCATCTATAGATCTAGCTACCCATCCATTCTCTAGCTTTCATGTATATACTTTGACCTTTCATCATCCACCCATCCTCCATCCATCTACCTTCCCTCATTCATCCACAGATCTGACTATCCATCCATTCTCTAGCCTCCATCCACCCATCCACCCATCCATCCATCCTCTTCCCATCATGCATCCACACATACACACATACATAATCCTCTGTCATCCATCCGTAGGTTTATCTACCTATCAACTTTTTAGCCTTCGCACATTTGTCCACCTTCCAGCACTCATCCATCTCTTCACCACCTTCCACCCATCACCTAGCCACCCTCCAACAGTCACTCACCCACCATTCATTTATGCACTCATCCTCTGTATCCCATCTGTCTGTCCACTCTTCATCATCTACCTGTCCGCCCATTAATGCATCCTCCATCTACCCATTTATTCTTCACCTCTCCATGCGTCCTCCCTTTACCACCTCCAACCTCCACTCATTCATCCATCTTCCCTCACTTTCCATCTACCAACCTTCGCTCCCTCCCTCTCTTTCTCTCCCTTTCTTCTATCCCGACAGCTCTTCATTAACTGCTGCCAGCTAGGCTGCCTGCTGGCTGCTGAGGGGAAACAATGGAGAGCTAAATCAGCTGTTGCCTGGATCAGAGCTCAGATTCTAATGTGAGAGAGAAACACTAATTGAGGGAGCCCACAGCTCTGTGGAGGATTACAAATCGTGGGATTGCTGAGAAGGGCCAGCACGGGAAGAATGTGCAGAGGACCTGACCCTGCTCGACCCTGCTCGGGAGGTCAGGGAGCGTTTCCTGGGAGAGATGAAAGACGCCCCCGAGTGAAAGTTCCTGGGTGGGCAAGTCCAGGAAATGAGATCGTCCCTCCTGCTGGCAGTGATGCTGGAGTCCAGCCTGTGGCTGGAGGGAGGCAAGGGCCCACCCTGGGAAGTTTTAGCAGGCTAGTTTTCGTAAGGAACTTGAGCTACTTTCTGAAAAGCAAAAGGAGGCCACTGATCTGTGGGCTTTAAACCAAGAAGTGACCCAGGGATACATCATCCATTCATTCCACAGAAAATCTGAACTGAGCGCTCTCTGTACGTCAGGATTATTCTGGCCCCCCGGAGACATGGCTGTGAATAAGATGGAAGTGGTTTCTGTCCTAGCTTGAACCTGCCCGGTAGCCAAGGACACTTAGAATGGAAGATGCAGGCACTGACATGTACAACAGGTCGAAAGTGTTGGTGTGTTTTGTGTGAGACAATAGCAGCAGTGGCAGCAGAGAGAAGACAGATTTGAGGAATGAGTGGCTGGCCCCGGCCCAGCCTCCAATTGCCAAGCAAGACAGAGAGAAATGCTGTCTCTGGGTTGTCGTCTCCTACTATGCAGCCAGATGTCTGAGCACTCAGATTCCTGCCATACTCTGCCCAGTGGAAGGGGACCCCTGGGGTACCACCCTGACCCCATCGAGCTGCTGTCCTCTGGGATGCCACTGACCACCGCAGGCCCGCCCCACCCTTCTACGTGGGACTCAAGCCCAGGAACAGCATCCATCCATCTGGCCAGACATCCATCAGCGTCAATCCCTGGCTGCAAAGGCAATATTTATAAATCACATTTCCAAACTGGCTACACATTTGTACAAAGAAGCAGATGGGTTGGGGTAGCTGCTTGCCACCTAAGATATTTATACAGTGAGGAGGTGTGGGGGGGGGTTGGCACATTGAGAGAAGGGGCTGAAGGACTGGAGGAGACCTTTCCTGGCTTCTCTGACCTCAACAAGCTAAGGTTGCCCTGTCCCCAAAGCTGATACTAGCGGACTACCCCTCAAAGGATCTCAGGAGGCTCCCAAATTAGGACAAACAGGTCGGGGGTGTGGAGCCTTGGGCGCTGGGGTTGGGAAGACCCTTGAACTTGGAAAGGCAGAAGCAGGGCTGACAGTGTCCCAGGGCACCAGCTCGGGATACCAAGGGAGGGATATGTGGTTGCTGAGTTGCACTGGTTGTTGAATTACTTCCAAAAAGATTTAAATAGCTGTGGCTTTGAGCCCTGCTTCTTCCTATAGCCTTAGCCTCTCTCGAAGCCACGCTCCTGCCCTCACTGGAGGGGCTGATGCCCAGAGCAGCAGGGACTCCAGGGTTCCAAGAGCCCTAGCTGCTGTCACTGTCCTTTGGGAGCAGTTGTCAGAGTAGAGGCGTTGGCTGGTAAAGGTTCTTAATATGGCTCCTGGGAATACAGACGGTTTTGCTTCAGAGGCCTTAAGGCTTCTCTCTGTAGGGGCAGGGTCTAAAAGTCTTGGGAGTGACCTCAGGCCTGTTCCAGGACCAGCAGGAACCAGCATGTTCTGGCCCTCCTGTGTCCCACCCCGTGCCTCTTGACTTCTCACTTTCTATGCTGTTTTCCATATGTTTGAAACTTGCTGTTTCTGCCACCAGACAGTTTCTACTCTGGTTATCAGGTGGCTCACTGCCTGGTTGCTTTCAGTTTCTATTTATTTGTGTGTATGTATGTGTGTGTGTGTGTGTGTGTGTGTGTGTGTGTGTGTGATGTAGATTTGTGTGAGCATGTATGTGCGGTGTCCTTGCCTATGTGTGAGAGGCCAGAGGTCTATGGCAGGCGTCTTCCTCTGTCCACCTTAATTGTTGAGACATAGTCTTGCTGGGCAGGAACTCACTGATTACAGTCCTCCTTGTTCTTGCCTCCCGGTGACAGGGTTTAGGTACATGCTACTGTGCTTAGCACCAGCTTACACGGGTGCTAGGGATTTGAACTCAGGTCCTCACTCTTGCGCAGCAGACTCTTTACCATCTCTCTGGCCATTTCATTGCCTGCTCATAGTGGATCCCTTCAGAGGGGCCCTCCCAGACTACCTTTTGACTTCAGCTCCAGACCACCCATTTTACTGAGCACCTACAAGGTGTGAGCATTTCTCTTGGCACCCTATGGACAAGCAGAATGAGGCCCAGACTCCCGAGGAACAAGGCTGTGTTATTCCTCCTCCCTGGCCACTCGTTATGCCCGACATATTATTGACTTGTTTAATTTCTGTCTTGCTTCAATAGAATATGAACTCCACAAGGACGGAGATTCTCTCCCGTCTGTCATTGACTTTCCAGGGCCCCAGAGCAGAGCTGGCCACATAGGGACTGTGTCTCATCGGAACTTAGGAGATGGAATATAGAAAGTGAGAGTTTGAAGTCTGCAGTCCACCCCAGCAGCCCTCCTCCCTCTGGGGTACCTGGCTACTTGAGGTGGCATGTGTTGGCCACATTTCCAGACAATGAAACTAAGGCTTAAAGAGGGACAGGTAGTTGCCGGGAAGTCACAGAGAGCCCCTCGCTGAGCCTGCGCTGCCTCCTGGGGTCCTCACTCCCTCAGCTTTGTTTTTTTAAAGATTCCAATGCCAATTTCATGAGGATCTCTGGGGATAGACTGGGGTATTATGAAGGACTCAGCTCAGACAGGGTGAGCTGTTTGCTTCTGCAGGGGGAAACTGAGTCAATGAACATCTATACTCTGTAGAGGTAGGTGTGTGTGTGTGTGTGTGTGTGTGTGTGTGTGTACCCTAGAGGTGTGGGTATGAGACCCCCAAGCATAAACATGAACTGAACCCAGTTGGCTCAGCAGGCATGGACTCTGAAGGACTCCGCAGAGCTCTGGGAAGGAGCTCTGAGACAACTGAAATAGGGAAAACCTCCATCCATTGTGTCTGGGAGAATACCACAGGGGACTTGGGTTGGGAGCACATCTGACCTATAGGTGGGGGTGGAGTGTGTCCAATGCTGCCTTCCCTGCCACTTGGCTCGGGGACCGTTCTCCAATGTCTTCTCTAGGTGCTCTTCCTGCATCTTTCTAACTGCCAGTCTCTGCTCTTGGGATGCATCCCCTCACTCTGCCAACTCATGCCCTGTTTCCTCAGGGCTTGGCCAGCAGCTGGGTGCCAGCCCTGGCCTGGCTCATGTTCTGTGACCTTTGACCCAGCTCTGGCTCTCACGGTTCTCATAGAGAACAGCGGAGGAAGGCACTGAGCCAGCCCCCTCCCCATGCACCCTCAGAGTGGAGGCTCACTGGTAGCTCACCTTGGATGTCCAGAAGAGAGAAATGAGGGTTGCTGGGTGCTTCTGGTACCAGGCGGAAGTAGAAGCGGTGTCCACCCTGGGGCTCGTCTCTGTCCACCACGCTGATAGTCTGGATGAGCTGCAGGGTGGAGAGGAGCGTGAGGTAGAGTAGGAGCTCTGACAGGACAGCACCCCGGACCCCAGTGCCTCCGGGTACCTGGCCTGGCTTGGCATCTTCACACACAGCTGCCTCATAGGGTGTAGCCAGCTCCGGGGGATTGTCGTTCACGTCCAGGATTCGGATCCGTAGGGATGCCCGAGAGAGCTGAGCATGATTGTCTGGAAGGAGAGTGGGAGGGGGCAGGAGCTGCAGGGGTGACACCAGACAACCTACCTACTACGTCGAGGAGGTTAGGCAGTGGGGCCACACTGACAGACAGTGGGTTATTCACATGGGCACAAGGACCAGGGCTAGGACACCTGGGATTGAATAATCAACCCACGATCCCTATCCCAACCTCCCGAACATCTTCACCAGCCTTCACCCTCCCCATCCAACTCCACCACCATCTTCTCCACCATCCACCTCTCCGCCATGTCCATCTCCACCACCCCCCTCTCTTCCACCTCCATGACCATCTTCGCTCTTGCCACTCCATCTCTGCCGTCACTAGCACCATCACCACCTTCGCCATTCTCCTCTCCATCTCCACCATAGTCTTCCCCACATCCACCATCCCCATCCCCATCCCCATCCTCAGTATTAGCACCAACTGCACTGCCGTTGCCTCCACGACCTCCTTGGCTCCCACCACCAACAGTACCACCCACCACCATCACCTCCTCGCCGGCAGGAGCACCACCCCAACCTGCGCCATTACTGCGTCCTTACTGCTGCCAAGCGGTCACCATGACTACCCGCAACACTGCCTTCCCTGGCTCTAGTAGGTAAGGCACAGTAGATCATCATCGCCACGTGAGCTCCGTCTTCATCGTCCCTCCATCAGCCCTAGTATTAAGACCATCACCCTCATTTCTCCCATCAGTTGCACTAGCACCATAAACAGCATAGCCCCAAGCACGACTTCCTGCTACGGCCGCCTCCACCCAGTGATACCTTCAGATAAGCTTCTGCCTCACACACTGTGTCACCTCCGTCACTGTTTTGGCCCTGTCACCTAGAGATTACCTAATGCCCCCAGAGCACACGTGCCCATCATTCAGCTGCCCTGAATCTACTACAGTTTGTGTCCCCACACTGCCAAGGAGGAACTAGAACACATGGGCATGTTTGGAGGACGGGTCAGCTGGTGCCCGAACCCCCAAACTGCTGCTCTCAGCACACCTGACCCTGCAAGGGCCAGATGGGTCCGAAGAGGCGAATTTGGCCAGCAAAGCTAGATGCCCATCAACTCAAGGCCCTGCTTCACTTAGCCCTGGGTCTCCAGCACACGGCATAGACAAGCTCGCTCCTCACACTTGGGCAAATGAATGAAATCTGAAGGGATTGAGGAGAGGTCTGGATTTCAGGTGTGGCTGAAACCCTGACCCAGAACTTGGGCTTGGACAAGACGCTGGTTTCGGCTTCTGTCCCTGGAAAGTGGTGGACAGGGAAATGGTGGTTAAGACCTCTGCCATACAGGAGCTCTGTGATCTCAGCCCAGCGACTTCCCGGTGCTTCGGTGTTCTCGCTTGCTGGCAGAACAGATGGGCTAACGGTTAACGTCTCTAAAGTGCTTAGGGCTTCGTGCACAGCACAGAAGAGTGGCACACAGGTATCTACTAAGTAATCAGACAGCCAAGAGGGAACCGGCAGCCTCAGCCTGGCCTCTCTACACAGACCCCTCCTTCCCTGTGTACGCTGTCACCTTCTTCTCAGCTAGTGGACTCGCTACTGACCTACTGTACCTGCCACTCCCTGTGAGTGCACTCCCCCGGAACGGAAACGACACCTCACTTTCAAGCAGCTGCTTGGATGGCAGGAGTCCACAGCTGGGTTGGCAGGGAGCTATTTTGGGGGTAGTCTGGGAGTTCCCAGGCAGCCAGGCACCCCATGAGTTTTGGGGGGAGTGGACCCATCTGCTGCCTCCTCTGAGCTCAGAGGCCTCGGGTTGCTGACTGCAGCTGTTGGAGAGTTGTTAGAACTGGAGGCAGGTGGGTCCCCCCTGGGGAGCCACGGAAGGTAGGAGGTGCCCTTCATTTGTCCCGCTGACCCCTCTCTGGAGTTCCCCTTAGCGAAGGGGAACATTATCTCCTCAGTTTACCCGGATCTGCCACCTCAGCAATTAGAAGGGCTCTTCCGGGACTGGGGGAGGGAAAGTCGTGACTGGGGATGCCGAGTGAACCGTTATTTTTAAGAGCACATTGCCAGAGAACCTCCACAGACAGATGGGGTGCTCCTGGGAGGGTGGGGAGAGGGGGGAGGCAGGCGGTGTCTGTCTCCCAGCTGACGGTGGGGATAGCGAGGGCCTGAACACCCTGCCTGGCAGCCTGCCTCTGTAGAAGGGGTATGGGCCTGAGGGAAAGACATCACCTTCTACTCAGGTTCTACTATTGGGAGGCCCTTGCTGTGGGTTACAGCTGGGCCTTGCTGGCCTCCTCTTTTAATATGTCGCCTGCAGGTCACTTCCTAAGAGAGCCCTGAGTCCTTCTGCCTGAGTAAGGAAGGGTCTCAGGTCTAGAGGCGGCAGGTGAGGGCACTCACTTAAGAGGCTTGTCCAGGCTGCTGTAGTGTTTGTCCCAGGGATTCTGGGCTGCCCAGGAATGGCCATCGCTCCTGAATGGCCCGTGTCCTCAGCACCAGGCAATGCTTCTCATCCTTAGAAAGTCACCTGGAAGCCCTTAAAGAATACGAGTGCTGAAGTTTGGCATTGTCCCGGGGAAGTTCGTCCTGTACCCTTCTTGCAAATGGTGCCTTGGGGAGAATGGCAGGCCTCTGATTGGGACTTTCCAGTCCTGCGGGTCTGTGTCCCCTGTAATCACTGATAACAGCAAGGCCTGCCTCTAGCACCTTCCAGGGTTCTGTCACAAAACAAAGCGCCCAGCACTGTTCAGCCTTGACCCCTGTCTGCTTTACAGCATCCTCTCCTGCCTGTGATCTCACGTGGGTCTCTGCACAGTCCATGACGAGGTGACGCCAAACCTCTTTTGTGCACGGGGCTGGAGCATCCCTGGAGTTGTCCCCAGCCTAAGTGTGTGGTCCAGATACAATACTGGGCCCTCTCTGCTGCCCGGTCTTTGTTCATCCAGTGGCAGCTGCTCAGACTCCAGGCACAGCAGACCTCACCCAGTGCCCAGCGGCAGGTGCCCCCTCCAGGGGCCAGGTCTCCCCCCGGCCTTCCCCCCATTGCCATCTCAGTTCAGCTGACTGACATGCAAATTAGTTTAATTATTTCTTCTTCTAAAATAAATTATATTTTGCAGTAGCTGCAATATGTTGTGTCAGGCAAAATTACATTCAATATTTTTAAACTAATTGATGCAGCCTTGAGGAAGGCTGATTGACAGCCCAGAGCTGAGCAGGCCTGCAGCCCTAACCGATTCCTAAATTAAAATTAAACGTGCTCTGGCCTGGTGCTTCCTTCGTCAGTTGGCTCGCTCTGCATCTGGGGAGGTGGCAGGTGGAGCCCCAGGGGTCGGGAGAGGCTGGGAAGGAAGGCTCCGCGCTGCTCCCTCTTAAAAAGAACAGGAGCGAGGGGCCAGACGGCCGCTGGGCTGGTGTCTTACCTTCCTGGTTCCCCCAAGGTTCCCTAAGCGCAGCGGCTGGGGTGGGATTGGACATTTTGGAATGGAGGCTTGCGGTTTTTTGCTGATGACTGTGGAATGGGAGTCTCCTTTGTACCAAGGACACAGGAGTGAACAAGAACAACGTGGTCCTTTGGTCTAGAGGCAGAGACAGACACCATTCCAGACTGTGTGACAAGAATTGAAAAGCTCAGGAACTGAGAGTGTGCAGCAAGGAGTCCTGCCCTGGTGGGTGTCGGGGACCTTTTCCATGGAGCAAGTGACATTTTTACTGGGAAGGGATGAGGGGGAATGAGGCGGTGGGAAGGATGGCTCTGGGGAGAGGGATTGGGAGGGATCAGTATGTGCAAAGGCCCTGGGGTCCGAGTGCAGGGAGGCTTCAGAGCCCTTCCAAGGAAGACCCCAGCTTCTGACAGAAACACTCTCAGGGCCCAACTGAGACCCAACTGAGCAGGAAGCAGAGATGGATGGGGCTGGTGGAAAGGAAAGAGGACACGGGGCATGACCCAGCTACCAGAAGGAAAGTGTCACAAGGAAAGGCAGGACACAGGTGTCAAGCCACTATCAAGATCTGTGTCTCCCTACTTTATCCTGTCAACTGTGGGACGAGGTGGGAATCAGTGCTGCTTTGTGGATGAGAAAACAGGCTCAGAAAGGTGAGGCAGCCTCCCGAGGGGCCGCTGGAACACCTGACAGAGCTGCGTGTAGACAAGGGAGGCTAGTTTTAAAGGGAGAGTTTCCAACTAACAAAGTCTTTCAACACCTCAGCTGCCAGAACCCTTCAGGGCCTTGCACAACGTTCTCCAGGCAGCTCTCTGTGACTGCCTCAGCCCTCAGCCCAAGCCCTGGACTTTCTCCCACAAGATCTCCTGGCTTGGGTTAGATGGCCGGCCCCTCCCCAGCCTCGGCACTCTTTCTGTTCTTCCTCTCTCTGCGCTTCGGCTCCTTCCCGATGGCTGGGTCCTTATTGGTGTCTCCCCTCACCACGTCTCACACACGGTTTCCCGTGGAACTTGCTGTCATGGCTTTTTACCAGGTACCTCGATTTGTATTCTTTAAAAAGTGAAGCTGGGGGCTGGAGGGATGGCTCAGAGGTTAAGAGCAATGACTGCTCTTCCAGAGGTCCTGAGTTCAATTCCCAGAAACCACATGGTTGGCTCATAACCATCTAGAATGAGATCTGGTGCCCACTTACAGACCAAACATAGTATGTATAATAAATAAATCTTTAAAAAAAAAGTGAAGCTGGGTTCCATGGCGCACGCCTGTAATCCCAGCCCTCTGGAAGGCAGAGGCAGGTGGATCTTTGTAGGCTCTAGGCCAGCTTGGTCTACAAAGCGAGTCCAGGACAGCCAAGGCTACACAGAGAAACCCTGTCTTGAAAAATAAAACAAACAAAAAAGTGTGTGTGTATGTGTGTGTGTGCACGCGCACCTGTGAATGTTTACATGGTAAGCCTGAGAACAGCCTCAGGTGTCATCCTCAGGGATACCATTTACCTCCTTCAAGACAGGGTCTCTCCCCAGGACTTGCTGCCTAGGCTCCACTGGTTAGTCAGTGAATCCCAAAGACTCTCCTGTCTCTTCCTCCTCAGC